GAAATGCTGGTCGAATATTGGTATCACATTTTTGTGATGATCAAAGGCACATCGTAACTGAAATAACTCCACAAAATAGTAGGAACAGAAGTCTGGTGAACGGAAATTCGCCAGTAGGTTGCCCACAGGGTAAAGTAGTACTAGATCAAACCAATGGGAAGTTGCCAGCTGAGCAACTGGATATTAGCGCTATAAACTTCAATAGTCTCAAATACTCTAAGTGCGAATGCAAAGCAAGGAAATCAAACTATGTATAAACTGATTTTCAAAAAAATTTTTTTCAAATTTTGGGCCGATATTCGATTGCAGCCGGTGAGTATGGTGCAGTAGAAAGTAGCACTGTCGTTGCACATTCGGTCGAGGGTTTGACTTTGCTAGTGAGATAACCATTCTCTCTGCGACTACTTCATTCATTTCGATGGTAAATGGTTTCTGGGTATGCCGGGGAATGATTCTCGCCATCAGCCCGCTTTTGAATAACCAAGAAAGAGAAAGCCATCGGCAATGTTGCCAGAAATGATTGTTGCTGGCATTTGCTTCCACCTGAGCTACTTCGCGAGTGCTGGCGCCACTCAGAGCAAGTGATTATGAAGGGGTTTTTGACTTTGATTTAGACCCAGTTTCGCAGATGCATATGACAAAGAGTCTTCCTCCCATCGAATAACTCGTGCTATCTTCCAGACAATTTTGGTACAGGCTATTTCAGTGATTCGTTTCGACGAAAAGCTGAGATTAATACACATGGCACTGGAAAGGAAGAAGAACTGAAAGCAGTGCCAATATTTGGCTGCTGTGAGAGTAAAAGTGCAGCAGCCCTGACCAGGAACGAGTGTCTGAGCTTATCACAAACAGCAAACTAAAAAGTTTTGTGTCAGAGTGCTAAAAATACCTCTTTATGTATCCAATCCTCACAGTTGTGGTCGTTGAGCAACCTGTCGAGTGAATTTGGTGTCAAAACGAGAATGAAGTGCTTCGCTGCCTGGATATTTTTCAACAGTGATGAGTCAAATTTCCCAGCATACAATTTATCAACATCTATAAACACCTGAAATTCACGCAACCCATGTAGTAAGGCAGTACAGCACAATATTTTATTGTATTTTTTCAGGTGATCCAAATTCAGGCACCTCGTCGCCGTGCGAAATCGGTTTCGGGCTAAATAGAACTGAAGCGCAGTGAGCACAAAGCCTGGTAAACTAAACAATTCGTGAAAACATTAAGTCATAATTTGTCCGATTAGGCTCGGACTGCATCGGCTAATTCTTTTGACGACTTACAAGCACAGGGAAATTTTGTCGAGCAGTTTCGACGAATTATGTAGATAAAGATGGACTAAAGAAGATG